AGCTCTCCCCGCCGCTCGGGGCCGGTATTCGCCCAGCCCTCGGCCTCGGCGCTGACCGCGGCCGCCGCCTCTCTTCCACAGTGGGGAACATCCCGTACGAAGCCACAGAGGAGCAGCTGAAGGACATCTTCTCAGAGGTTGGGCCTGTGGTCAGCTTTAGGTGAGAATGGCTGCCGGTTTCCCCCTCCCCGGTCTCCCGGGCAGATGTGGCCCCGGGCCCCGTGGTGGCGTGGGGCCGTGCAGAACCGGCCTTCCCACGGGTGGGAGCAGAGCGGCTTCTGGGGGGGGTGGTGAGGCCGTGGCAGCTGTGCTTGCGCTGCGGGGCGCTGAGATCCAGTGCCGAGGTCACTGGGAGATGTGGCGCATGATGGCCCGACCACAGCAGCAGCGCGGACATGGGCCCGCTGCTCCGGGCTGGGGGCAGCTGCCCTGCTGTGGTGTGGGCTGGTAACTCCTCAGGTCCTGATCAGGCTTTGTGCAGAGAGCCCCAATCGATCCCAGGGCCTCTGAGGGAATGTTTTCCTGCCTTGGCAGCAGGCATCAGAGATCTCAATGAAGGGCTTGGGAGCTCTAGGAGCAGCCGGTCCAGTCCTGTGTCCCCAGGACCTGCCATCGCGGGGGCACAGAAAGCACAGCGCTTGCACTGACGCCCTTCCGGGACACCAGAGCTTTGGGAATACCTATCCACCAGGATCCAGGAGGCCTTTTGGCTCTGGCTAAGGGCCGACTGTTGCGTGCCTTCACTCTGCTCCCTGGTGCTCCTGTGTGGTGTACCCCAGTAGCCCCCTCCTGAGCCATGGGCAGCCATGGGTGCTGCATGCTGCTCGATGCCTGCGCTGCCCTCAGCAGCGGTGGTTCTCTCCCCCTCCTTGTGCAGGCTGGTGTATGACAGGGAGACAGGAAAGCCGAAGGGCTATGGCTTCTGCGAGTACCAAGACCAGGAGACGGCCCTCAGTGCCATGCGGAACCTGAACGGGCGAGAGTTCAGTGGGAGGGCCCTGCGTGTCGACAATGCGGCCAGCGAGAAGAACAAAGAGGAGCTGAAGAGTGAGTCTGAGTTTTGTGGTGGAGAGTGCACAGATGTTGTGCTGGCCTGCCCTTTTCAGCATTACAAAGCGCACCTCTTCTGCGAGGCTGCCGAGGTGGAGACCTCACGGAGCTGACCTGCTCCAAGCGATGTAGCAAGTAGTTTTACAGAGGGGTGTGTGGGCTCAGCTCTGTGTTTTCTCTCCTGGACAGTCTCCCTGTTTGCACTGCCTCCCCTTCCCCATAACGGAGTGGTGCTTCCCTTCTGAGGAGCCGGTTAAAATCATATAGTTGTTGCTGTACAAGGTCACAAACTCTGTTGCAGGCTTGGGCACAGGTGCACCCATCATAGAGTCACCTTATGGGGACCCTGTCAATCCTGAAGATGCCCCCGAGTCCATCAGCCGGGCAGTAGCCAGCCTGCCGCCCGAGCAGATGTTTGAGCTGATGAAGCAGATGAAGGTGAGTGAAGCAGAGAGCTGCACGCTTTGTTTGAGCACAGCTTCTACCACTGCTGCCTGTGCCCTCGCAGCCCCTGTCATGCCTTGCCAGAGCTCTGATCTGCCTGTGTCTTCTCAGCTGTGTGTCCAGAACAGCCCCCAGGAAGCCAGGAACATGCTGCTTCAGAACCCCCAGCTGGCTTATGCCTTGCTGCAGGCCCAGGTGGTCATGAGGATCGTCGACCCGGAGATCGCACTGGTTTGTCCCTTGCTGCCTCGTCCGGGGTCGGTGGGATATCGGTGGCAGCCTGTTGTGGAGGGAGGGTGGAAGAGAACTCCCTTCTCTTTTTTCTGCCCCTAGAAAATCCTGCATCGCCAGACCAGTGTTCCTCCTCTGATCCCAGGCAACCAGCAGCCGGTGCCAGGGCCAGGGCCTGGACCGGGACCAGGGCCTGGGCCAGGGCCAAATGCCCAGCTGAACCCGCAGAATACCCCCTCATCCCAGCCGCAGCCCATAGTAAGAGCCTGCACGATGCACGTGCTGTGCGGGGCAGAGACGGGCATTGCCAGCTCCAGCTCTCCCAGCTGGGGCACGCGTGCCTGGGTGCTGGGGCTTCCCTGAGGTCCGGATTCTCTCCTGGGTAGGGTGGGATGCACGTAAACGGCGCTCCTCCTCTGATGCAGCCGCCCATGCAGGGAGGAGTGCCGGCCCCGGGACAGATGGCAGCCCCTGTGCAGGGCCCGGGCCCCGGCCCCATGGCTCCAGGAGGTGAGTGTGTGGGTTTTGGTTGAACGATGTCCTGGGCACGTGGGTCCTGCAGACAGCCCCTCTCTACTTGTCCCCTAACCAAAGGGCTTGTCCCTGTGAGAGCACACATAGTCCTGTACTGTATCTTATGGTTGTGGCTGCTGGCAGCAGCGCCCTGGAAAGTTGGCTTATCTCTGTGGGGGCCCCAGAGCAAGAAAATAAACCTCCAGTGCTCCCCCAGGAGCTGGGGGGTGGGGAGGTATTTGGGACCAAAGGAATCAGTTAGTGGTGCAGGGATGGCTGAGAAGGGATCTGAACTCTGCTTGTTCCCTCTCAGGTGGGATGCAGCCGCAGGTTGGGATGCCGGGTGGAGGGCCTGTCCCCTTGGAGCGCGGACAAGGTAAAACAGACATGAGTTACTGCTGTGTGTCATGTCAGCCTCGCTCCGGCGGGGGCCCAGGCCACAGGTGCTGAGCAGGGCTGCACCAAGAGCCCCTTCCAGCTACCCACAGCCTCGCCGTCCCTGCATCGGGGGCAGCTCCCGCAGCACCGGGCTGCGCTCGGGTTGGTTCGCTTAGGCGCAAGGCTGTGGTAGCAGCTCTCCTGCTTGCAGGGCCTCAGCCCACGCACCGCTTTGCTCCCAGTTTGTTCTGCGCCGTGTTGTGCAGACGTGCCCTGGAAGCCAGGAGAGCTGCCGGTCCCTGCAGAGCCCTGCCAAGCGCGGCGTGCCTGTGTTTTCCATCTCTCTGTGAGCCCGTGTCTGTCCCTGTGCTTGTGCGGGCAGGCAGAGCTTGCTCTTCTCTGGTCTCTGTCCTGCTCCTTTGCTGCCTGGGTGCTGGGAAGCAGCTTGTCCTGCCGCCGCGTCTGTCACCCGGCGCTCCCTATGCCATGCCCGGCAGAGGGAGCTGGCCCTTCGCTTTTGCTTGCGACAGTGAGTGCGAGGCTTGGCAGGGAATTTCCCGGTGAGTGATGGCATGGCTTTCCCTCTGCAGGCACGGTCTGTATGGCCCAGCCCCGGAGCCGGATTCCTTACGGTTCACACATTGCATGGCCACCCCGTCGAGCCGTGTGCCGGGGTTAGCACAACCAAGGCGTTCCTGTTCTCCCAGTACTAAGGCACGCAGGCAGTTGACACCCCTATTGCCTGGACTTGAATCATAGGCCTTGTTTCAAGAACATGGCAAACCTGTTCTGAGATCCTCTGGTCTTAGGTACTTAGGAGCAGCTGACTCTCGTTTTCTTTGGGGTGGGCACTGCCTTCCTGAGTGCAACCCCATAGTTCTTGGCACCCGGAAGTTTTTGGAGAGCGGACAGAAAGCTGGCACTGGGGAGTGCCATGGGAAGCCGTGGGCAGGCGCTGGCTGGCTGTGCGTTGTGGGGCGCAGCGTGGCCCCGCAGAAGGCCGATTCTCTTAGCAGGATGTCCTCCTGCCCTGCACGTTCACGCGGTGAGTGAGGGAAGGGCTGTGCCAAAGCTGGCTGTCACGCCTGTGGTGACAGAGGTAGTGTTCATGAGAGAGAGGTTGATAGACCTGCAGCATGCAGCATCTTCTCCGTAGGTTTTCCGCGGGACTTCAGGGAGTGGAGGTGATCCTGCAGGCAGCACTGTCCCCAAGGCTGAGTGCATGTGTGCATACACTATTTACGTGTCTGCTCTTCTCCCTCTTTTCCTGCTGCTTGCCCAGGGAACCTGCAGCTCTCGCCCGTGGGACCTGCCAGGCCTGCGTCTATCGAACGCGTTCAAGGTATCCCGGCACCTGCCAGCTCCCTCCTCCCATGGAGCTCGTTGTGGAGTGTGCAGAGAGCAGCTTTCACCCCGCTATGCTCAGGGCCGGGGACTGGCAGAGTTAAGAGGAGGAGGAGGAGGCAGGATTTCCCCTGGGGCCGGAGGAGCGAAAAGGCTAGTACTGTGCACAAAGAGCCACCAGTGGAAAAGGAGAGCCTGCTTGGAGAGGGCCTTTGCCTCGGATCCAGCCCCCTTTGACACCTCAGTACCAGGAACTTGCCAGGTCTTGCTTTGCTCCTGGCCCCACGTCAGCACGGGGCTTGTAGGGATCGCCCCGGGGACACCCCACACTTGGTTTGGCCACCTGATGCCGTAAGGAGCCTGAGGCAGAGCCAGACAGAGAAAGAGAGGGATAAAATCAGCAGCCAGGGAAGGGGCTTTTGTGCGCTCTGGCCTTGAGCAAGGGACTGCCCCCCCGGCGGTCAGCACAGCCCAACCGCCTGCGCACCGGGGAGCAGTGAGGCCGCCCTGAACCCCAGCCCCGAGAGCGCTGGGGGACAGCCTTGGCGCGACACTGGTGATGCAGATCCTCACGAGCTCTTGTGTGTCTCCCTGGCAGTGCCCATGCCAGACCCGAGGGCCCCTATGCAGCGTGGACCTCTACCTGCTAGTGGCCCGCCACCCCGAGGCCTTTTGGGAGATGCCCCGAATGACCCTCGCGGAGGGACCCTGCTCTCAGTCACTGGAGAAGTGGAGCCCAGGTGAGGGGAGAGGGAAGGAGAGGAGCCCTTGGCACTGTCCCCTGCCCAAGGGTGACCTCTCGCTGAGGACAGGGATGGCACCAGCCTTCCGGGAGTCACCGCTGCCTGGTCGGAGGCCTGGGTGCTGCCGATCACGGGGGCTGGCCCGTTTCCCCGGGGACGGGCATCCCCGGGGTGATGGCAGCAGCCCTGTGGCATGGGGCCGACAGCACCCGTCCCTGTGCCAGCCTCACCCTCCTCCCCTGCGGCCGGCTTCGGGGGCAATCCCAGCGCTCTGCCCAGACCGTGCCAAGCCAGCGTCTGATTCACACTCTCTCGCTTTTTCTCCTCCTCCTGCTTTGCTCTCTTCGTCTCTCTGCGTCAGAGGTTACCTTGGGCCGCCCCACCAGGGAGCCCCTATGCACCATATGCCTGGTCATGACAGCCGTGGCCCCCCCCATGAGATGAGGGGGGGACCCATGGGAGAACCCCGACCACTGATGGGAGAGCCGCGGGGGCCCTTGATGGATGCTCGAGGTGAGAGAGGGGGCATGAAATAACGGGTGGCTTAAAGCGTACAGACAGGAAGGCAGAGTGGAGCCCGCTGCCCCAACGCGAGATGTAGGAAGGGGGTTTGGGCAGTGAAACCACCAACTCCAGGGCAAGGAGGGACAATCCCATGGGGCAAGGGACTTCCTCCAGGCATGTCCCCTCTGCCCCCAGCCCTGCACCTTCCGGGCGTTTGCCTCCCAGACAAAGGAGGCAGCGGGCTCGCTCCCACGCTCCCTGCTGCGCTGCTCCCTTCAACAGCTTGCCTTGTCTTTCCTCTGCAGTCGGAAGAGATCCCCGAGGGCTGGAGCCACGAGGTTTGGAGCCGCGAGGGCTGGAGCCCCGGGTGATGGAGGCGCGAGCCCTGGAGGCGCGAGGCCTGGAGCCACGGGTCCTGGAGCCACGAGTGCTGGAAGCCAGGGCCATGGAGGCCAGAGTCATGGAGCCCCGGGGCCTGGAGCCTCGAGGGCCTGGTCCCAACCCGCGTGGCCCCATGCCTGGTGGGATACAGGGCCCTGGGCCACTTAACATGGGAGCAAGTGGCCCACAGGGGCCTCGCCAGGTACACATGATGCCTCTGCTCAGCCAGTTGGGCACAAAGGGTGTCTTGTAGATCGGGGCTGGGTGGGGGGTTGTGACTGCAGCTAGAGAGGGGAGCAGGTCCCACAGAGCAGCACTGCCCATCTGCTGGGGACAGGACAAGGCTCAGGCCTCTCTCCACCTCTTCCTGATGTGGAAGGAGAGCAGGAATTGGAGGGAGAGGAGAGCACATAAAATGCACGGTAGCCTGTCTCTCTTTGTGCTCAGGTATCTTCAGGCTGGCTGTGAGGGCATCCATCTGACCTTCTGCTTTGTGTTCCTGTATTTGTGTGGTTGAGTCCAGAGACCCCTTGGTCCTTACCCCCTCTCTCATGCCCGCAGGTTCCTAACATGGCAGGGGCAGGCATGCAGGGAGGAGGCATTCCTGGGGCAGGGGTCCAAGGAGCTGGCCAGCCCGGAGGCTTTAGCCCTGGACAGAGCCAGGTCACCCCCCAGGATCACGAGAAGGTGAGAGGACAAAAGGGAAAGGGTGAGACAGCAGGAGCAGCACTTCCAACGTGCCTTACTGCCGTGGGGACAGCCCCTTCCTGGCTCCGGTAACCCGCAGCTGCTCTGGCAGAGCACATCTCTGATTCCCCCCTCTCCCCACAGGCCGCCCTGATCATGCAGGTTCTGCAGCTGACAGCAGACCAGATCGCCATGCTGCCCCCGGAGCAACGGCAGAGCATCCTTATTCTAAAGGAGCAAATCCAGAAATCCACGGGGGCACCCTGACAGGTGACGTCCTTAACCCGGCCTCGGCCTGTGCCTGCTCCCCTCTAGTACATCAGGGAGCTGCTCTGGGTGGGGCTCTACGCTGCTTTTCCTCTCAAGGCCGGGGCTCACTCCTCCCTCTCCTCACAGCCCTGGCAGGCGCGTGGTGGAGATGCCGGCGACTGGACAGTGGCAGCTGCTTCCCGTTGCCATCTGAGCTGATGCCGCGTAGTGGGAGAGTTTTCTCCCCTCCACACACGATGTTTTGCCCTCCCATTCATCCTTTTTTCTGTGTGTATATTTTATGGTGTTTGAAATAAAGTGGGAGTAGGGTTTGAGTAAAGCCATGTCTCTAGCTGCCTTGTTTGGTCACTCGTGGAGGCCGGAGTGGGACTGTTGGGTTCTGGGAGCAGTCTGGCCTGGCTCCAGGCTAGTCTAACCCACTCGCCTTCCTCCCTTCTCCCCAGCACCAGGGCAAGGTCTACACATGGGTTTTCTTATGTGTGGTGCTGTTCACAGCTGTTCTCAGGGGTGTAAGGAAAGGGCAGGCCAGGGAGCTCGGTTTTCTGTCCCTGCTGACCAGGCGGGAGGGGCTCCGTATCTGATTGCTGTATCGCTTACCACGCCGACCTGCTCCGGGAGGGTGGGTTTTTTTTCCTTCTTCTCTGCATATACTTGAGCAGAATTTGTGCCTTTGCCTGAGCTGCATTTGAAGTCGACCTGTGTGCTGGTGTGTGCCTGGCGGGCAGTGCAGGCTGGCTCTGGGCAGTGGCAGCGAGCCCCCATGGCCAGGGGGTGCCTTACCCTGCACCCCAGTGGGTTTGCTATGAACCACCTTTTTTTTACAGCCCTACAGGGGGCAGAGCAGGCTCCCTTCGTACCTGTACAGACCGAGTCACCACGATGGCTTTTATAGCAAAGGAAAGAATGTTTAATTTACCCTTTTAGGCTGAGGACTGTTTAAACTCAGAGGGGCCCATCTGGCCCCCAATTCCCGCTCTGCGTGCCCGCAGGCCGGCCCCATCCCCATCCTGTGGTTCTGCCCAGCCCGCTGGGCGCTCCTGCTGCTTCCCGCTGCTCCGGCAGCATCACCGCAGCACCTGCCTCTGGTTTCTCGATGGGGGGCCCTCTCCCACCACGAGGACCTATTGTAGACCAGGCCAAGAAGGCAGCAGTCTTTGAACCTGGAGTTTCTCCTGGAGAAGGATGAGCTTGCCAAGTCTCACCATGGTTCAGTTTGTGCACCCTCCAGCAGATGTTTATCCCTGGCCCCCAAGACCTCTGCCATGGGGGGCGAGGCGAGAGCAGCAGGGTCCCCTGTCCGCTGGGGTCCCAGCCTGGCTTCTGCTTAGAAGTTCTCCTTGTTGAAGTAGAACTTGACCTTCCTGGGGTCCAGGCTGGAGTGCTGGTGGCAAAACTTCTGCAGGCTCTTTGCCAAGGCCCCTGGCCCACAGAGGAACACACCAACCACCGATCTGCACACAGCAACGCAGGGAAAAGTGATCTAAGAGCTTTTTGGGGTCCTTACAACCTGTGGGGCACTAGCATGCCCCTCAAAGCCAGTGCTGGGTGCCAGGGAGGAGGGGGTGCCTCCGAGGCTCCGGCACCTCAGACCTCGTGCCCAGCTCTCACCTGGGGTGAGCTGCAGCCACTGCCGCAAACTCGCTGTTCCACATGGGCCGCCCGAAGATGGTTTTGTGCCTGAGGCCCGTCACTGTGTCCGTAGGGGTGTCGAAGCGGAGCGCCACGTTGTTGGCCTGGGCAGAGCAGGGACTGTGAGGGCCCTGGCTGCCACCCGTGAGCCCACCTCCAGTCCCTCACCGCAGAGGAGCATCCACCTCTGACGCCCACCACACACCGCTCCCAGACTTGCTGCTGCAAAGGCGTTGATGTGCTTGCCTCACCTCTCCCGCTGCCTCGGCCACCCCATGTGCCCCCTTGCCGCTGCGCCTGCCCGTGGTAGACTCACGATGCTGGTGTCCCAGCCGGTGAGGAAGAGCCTGTAGGTGAGGAAATCCGCCTTGCCCGACTCGGCCATCTTCTGCTCCAGTGAGGCAAGCAGGTCATTGAACCAGGCGAAGGCTCCCGTGTCCCGGCAGAGCCAGTAGAAGTAGATCTGGGATGCAGAGGGAGAGGGGTTGCTGAAGGTGGAGCAGAGCAGGAGGGGTGGAAGGATTCAATGTTGAGGACTGGGGACCCCAGCATGGAGAAACCCATGGCTGGGCCCGTGGGGCACCCCATACCTTCTTGGTCTTGAGGGTCTGGTCAGCCTGCTGGAACTTGTACCAGATGGACTTCAGGATGGAGGCGAAGGGGGTGACGCCAATGCCCGCTCCCACCAGCATGGCCACCTCGTACTGGAACACATCTTCGCTGGCTGTGCCGAAGGGGCCGTCCACCTCGATCCTGGCCGAGGGAGAGCCTGGGTGAGAGGTACGGACTCCCCGGATCCCTGAGGTGGTCTGTTCAGGTGCTCCCCAGCCTACCTGGGCATCTCTGGATTCTGCTGGAAAGTGTCGATGAGACGCTCCGTCCAGTCACCGGCCGCCCGGATATGGATGGAGAAGAAGTCCTCCTCGGGCGCCGAGGTGAGGGTGAAAGGGTGCCACTCCAGCAGGGAGATGGCGGGGCAGTTGACAAAGATGTACTGTCCCACCTCCATGCAGAAGCCCTTCTTCTGCATCTGCAGCTCCAGCACGCGGGCAGGGTGCATGACCACCTGTGGGGCAGGGACGGGGCTCAGCACCCCGCCTGGCTCCTGTCCCCGGGCAAGGGGCTTGGGCAGTGGCCCCTGCCCACCTCCCCACAGCCACCCCGGCAGGGAGCTGCGGCACTGGTGGCTGTGAGGGAAGGAACTGGTGGCTGCGAGGGAAGGAACTGGCAGCGGGCACAGGCTCCTCCACCACCCACCTTGGTGACAACCACCTTCTGCTGCGCACGCCAGACCCGAAGGATCCGCTCGAAGATGTAGAGGAGGACAGGGGCCAGAACCCACTTCCAGGACTGCAGGGATGGAGGAGAGCAAAGGGTTGAGGAGGGCCAGGGCTGGAGCATCCCAATGGCAAGAGAAGAGCTTCTCCCCCCACAGCCATCCCGCCGCTGCCCTACCTCGGCGGGGATGCTCCCGAACTCAGGGTGTTTGCAGCAGTCATGGCTGCAGTCCTCTTCCTTCTGCGTGAGATACTGGGCGCAGCGATGGGGGTGCACTTTCTCCATGCTCTCCTCCGTCTGCCCGCGCACCAGCCCGCTGTGGGGAGGCCAGGGATGAGCCCAGGGGCCAGCTCCTGCCCCCTGCTGGGGCTGAGCCACGCTGTGTGAGGCCAGCTGGGCTAGCCAGCCCTGGAAACAGGGAGCCCACACCCCCACTGAGCCTTCTCCAGGGCTGTATTGCTCCCCGGGGCAAGCAGAGCTGCCACACCGGGGGCCTGCGGCCGCTGCCCCTTGCTGTCCTGCCTTTGGGGAGCGGTGGGGATCCTTACGCGATGCCGTGGATGACGAGACCAGCGAAGTAGATGAGGAAGAGGTGGTGTGTGTACCAGAAGACCTCGAAGTAGTTCCTGCGGATGAACTCGGTGGAGGATGTGACCATGAGGATGAGCGCCAGTGTGATGATGACCCCTGTCAGCCCCGGGATGGTGGTGAATGCCACGTACTCCACAGTCTGCAGGGGTGGCAGGAGGGGTTAGGGAGGCAGGGGACAGGCAGTGGCAGGGGGATGGATGCTGGGGCCCACGCTCACCGTCTGGTTGGAGTGGATGGGGTTCAGCCACTTGTCGCTGCCCTGCAGGTGCATCTTAGAGAGGACGGCGGGGAGGCTGCGGTCAGTAGCTTGCTGGCTGTGGTTGTAGCGCTCCAGGTTGAAGAGGTGGGCGATGGTGTGCACAGCTGGGCAAGGGACAGGCAAGTCACCCACCTGGCCACCTCCTGGTCCCCCCTGTGCCCCAGCCCAGCGCGGGGCTGTACCTGTGAACAGGGCCAGCGTGTAGGCCACCAGCTTGTGGAAGGTGAGGTTGTGGTCCAGCTGCTTTCGCAGAGTCCGCCTGCAGCACTGCGGGGAGAGGTGGTGGTGTCAGGCCGAGGGCAGGCATGTGGACAGGGACAGCCAAACTGGCTGTGCTGCCATGGGGCACTCACCAAGCAGGTCCCACGGAGGAAGGAGAGGAGGTTGCGGCAGACGGGCAGCAGGATCAGCATGCTGTTGAAGTTGAGGCACTTGGCAGATGCTCGTGCCCATGCCAAGGCAGACTGGGGAGAGGAAGGGGGGTGAGCACCACTGCCACATGTCACAGATGGGGTAAGTCTACCTGCAGCCACAGAGCCCATGGCTCTGTCCAGCATGGTGCTGTGCCAGGACTGGGACAGGCCAAGCAATGCTGGGGACTGGGAAGGAGTGATGCTGGACTGGGCTGGGGACTGGGAGGGGGTGATATTGGGCTGGGACAAGACAGGGACTAAGATGGACAGGCATGGAGCAATGCTGAGCTGGGGACTGGGATGGGGTGATAGCAGGCTGAAAGAGGGCAGGACAAGGAGGAGACATGGGGTGCTGCAACCCCCACTCCACTGCGGGAGGGCTCCGAGGGACAGGCAGGGTGCTGTGGGGGAGCATCTTACCCCAAGGATGGCCCTGGTGTAGAAATACCGCTCGTCCCGGTCAAAGAACAGAAAGTAGTATGTGAAGAGGAAGATGTTGATGCCCAGCCAGGCTGCCTGTGGGGGAAAGCCGCAGCCTCATGAGAGACCCCAGCTTGGGATCCCCTCACCCCACAGCACTCTGGTGCGGGTGCAGCCAGAGGCCATCAGGGCAGCGCATCCCCCATGCTTCCTTATGATCTGCAGCAGCACGCACAAGGCTGGGACACGGGTCCAAAGGTAGGGAGAGGTGTGGGAGTCTTGCAAAATAACTGTCTTGTCACCCACAGCCCTGTGCATCACCCACACACGAGGAAGGAGGAAAGGCAGGTGCAGGCAACGCCTGCCTGGTTAGAGTGCAGAGCCACAGGGTGGTCAAAGCTGGCGGGGCAAACTCTGGGAGGAGAAAATTTCACTGGGATCGGGATCACTCATCCCCTGCCTAACCCTGCTGCACCCCACACTGGCCCCTCTCATAGCCATCCACTTTTTGCAGAGCTCCCAAAACTACTCTCCCTTGCTTTTGTGGTTTTTGCTTTAAAAAGTAATTTTAAAAAATCAAAATAATCCGACTTTCTGCAAATCCCTATTTTCCCATACATTAGCAGCTCCTCTCGCAGCAGAGCAGCCGGCACTGTGCCGGCCAAGCACGCCCCGTTACCCCAGGGATGCCACAGCACCGCACCAGCAGATCGTCCTCACCCCGGCGTGGGCTCTCACGGGAGCCTCCTGCTCTCACATGGGGACAAGAGGCACAGGGGAGTTCCCGGCCAAAGCAGAGGCAATTTTAGGTTTTGCAGCAGAATCACCCCTTTTCTTTGAGTCGTGTTTTCCTTAAAACTTCGGTTTTCCAAACCTCATCCCTCCGCTGCCCACCTGGGCTTTGCAAGTTGGCTGGGCAGGGGGGTGCTTGTCTCTCCCCGCAGCCCAGCACCAGGACAGCACATCAGCCCCCCGTTACCCCACAACCCCAGGATCATGCCCAGACCTTGCCCCCCCATAGCCTCCCCTCATCACCCCGGCCCCTCCCAGCAGATGAGCCCCCCAGCCCCACACACTCACGAGGACAGCAGCAGAGAACCAGTGGTTGACCAGCCAGTTGCCCATGGTGCCAACGTCCCCGTGCCTGCCTGCCGCTGCCTGCCGCTGCCCGCCCGACGTTTTATGGAGGCAGCAGGCGGTGCGGCAGCCCCAGCCACGGGAACGGCACCGCAGGGACTTTCCCCGGAAAAACCTTTGAGGAAATACTGGGCAGTTTCAAAGGACACCTTCCAGGAAGGCAGGGCTGACCCCATCGACCAGCCCCAAAACTGGCCTCCCGGACCGGCTGGGCATGGCCCCACACTGAGGGTCCCCCACGGCTGGGCGCTGCAGGACATCAGGCCACTCCTCTTGGTTGTTTGCAGTACTTGGGGACAGAAATGGTTTTTTTTTTAAGGTAGGAATTTCCTGGTGAGAGAAAGTCGTGGAGGGTCCGTCCTGTGCCTGGCTCAGCTGATTTGCCATTCTCCAGCCTCCCTCACTGTCCCTGTTTTACAAGAAAACCACCACAGGAGGAGCAGCATCCCGGTGCCAGGACCCGTCCCTCGGATCCACTCCAGGGCAGGTGACTTAAGAGTGAGTACCAGCAGTGCTGCACCTCCGTGGGCACCCCAGGGGTGCTGCACACCCTCAGCCTGGCACCCAGCACCCTCTAAACTGAGCTGACCCCACAAATCGGTGCTGGTCACACTCCTGGTTTGGGTCAGAATGCCTGGGTCCCTTCAGCATCCCCTCTGCTCTGCCAGCCACCCTTCCTATTCTGCCTGCCCTCAGCGGTGCCCAGCGCTCCTGCTGGGAACAGGAACCAGTGCCAGGGCCTCGAGCCTGGAGGAACAGGTTGGGCAGGATTGCTCCTTGCTGGCAAGCCGGGTTGCTCCTGGCCCACAGCCATGGCTGACGGAGGTGCAGGATGAGGCTGGCCCCCCTCCCGCCATGCTCCTGCATTTTACCGACTCCATTGTGGGGCTCCCACCAATCCCCATTTCCCACTGGTGCAGCCCCAGCTCGGTGCCCACAAGCGCGAGGGCTACGTGGGCAGTGGGTGTGCGCACCCACGCCAGCCCTGGCGGGACGATCCCCACCCTCAGTGTGAGTCACCGGCCACCCGCCAGCACCCGGACACGCAGCCACAGCAAAGTTTCTTTTACTGCTTAAAACAGTCCCACGGGCACCTGTGGTCCCAAGGTCACTGTATATACCGTAGCGGGCAGATGCGGGGGTGTCCGGGGCACCCCAGAGGCTGTGCACCACACGGCAGCCGGCTCACAGTGGCAGGCGGTTTGGGCACCCCATAAGTCCTTTGTGTCCGTGTGTGGAGTCCCAGGCAAGGCTGGCACGCTCCTGTCCCCCTGTCACTGCAGGGACCCACCGGGACCCGCGGCCAGGCCAGGCAGCTCCTGCCTGGAGCCGTGAGCCTCCTCTGGCTGCTGATGCAGCCCAGCGCTGCCCATCCTCATGTCTGTAGCCAGCTGGAGGAGCCCGGTGCTGGCCATTCCTCAGACGATGCTGTGCCTCACGCCGGGCTCGTGGGGGGCCTGGAGGCGCAGAGGGGTCCCTGGCCGGTGCTGGCGGCAGCAGACACAGTGCAGGTAGTCGGCAACGTTGTGCCGGAAAAGTTGGCGGCAGGGGTGCAGGTACTGGAAGAAGAGAAGCATGAAGTAGATGCCCAGGCAGTAGCCAAGGAGCAGCTGCACCACCAGCAGTGGGGTGCAGATGTTCTCATAGACATCTGTCTTAAAAAAGTACCAGAGGATGACGAGGGCTGTGTTCTCTGCCAGCCGGGCCACGTAGTACACGGCCAGGCGGCCCCAGTTCTGTGACTTGTCAATGAGGTCCCGGTCGGCCAGCTTGAGCTGCACGGCCGACCAGCAGAACATGTTGATGCTGGCGTAGAGGAGGGTGAAGGCGCAGAGCACCACCACCGTGCCCACGCGGCTGAAATTCTTCTCGATGTTGTCGGGCAGGCGGGTGCCGCTCCGCCAGAACTGCACCCAGGGCAAGAAGAAGACCACCAGCAGGTTGGTCAGGGCGATGGGGATGATCCAGTGCTTGAAGACGGTGCTGAAGAGCACGAGGACAGCCACGCGGGTGGAGATCTCCAGGCTGCGCCACAGCACGATACAGAGGAAGGCCAGCGGCCGCAGCTGGACCTTGTAGTCATCGTACTTGACCTGGATGGCCAGGATATTGCAGACGAGTGCCCCATAGGTGACCGACACCAGGCAGATGCCCATGAGGATGGCTGCAGAGGGAGACGTCAGGGGAGTCAGGCCAGGGAACCCAGCTCCAGTGTCAGGACCTGGGCTGTGTGCTCGGCCTCTTGTGCCCCAGGTACAAAATGTGGGGTCCCAACTCCGTGTGTGAAGCGTGGGATGACAACCCTGAGTGTGAAACGTGGGGTGCCAAGCAACAGGGCTTACAGCAGGAGGCTCAGTGTGAGCACTGCTGGGACAGCTTGTGGCTGGTGGTGACAGACCCCACGATGGGGCGACTGTGGGGGAAGCTGAAGGCAGCAGGAGGCTCTGCTCCCAGATTTTCTCTCTACGCTAATAAACCTGAGACCTTTGTCAAACTGGGGTCACTCCTGTGCTTGAACCAGGCACCAACCGCCCTGACCTCTGCACAAAATGCTGCTCAAGGGGGAGTGGGGCATGGTGTGTGTTGTGAGCATCCCTCTGCCCTCACCCAGGCCAAGAGCCACACCACTGTAGCCCACCATTCACCCCAGAAGCATCTCAAGAGCCACCCCTGTCCAGGGGCTGCAAGGCCAAGGTCATTCATAGGGAACATCAGCAGCTGCTCACATTCAGCGCAACCAGGGAAACTGTGACACAGAAAAAGGGAAGCATGTGTCTGGTCGTGCCGGCAGCTGCGAGCTGCAGGGTTGAGCTGACACCTGAGCCGCAAGGGAATCACCCAAAATGTATGAACTGGGATTCACTTCCCGCATCTGCTGCTGGAGGAGAGCTGGGGCCCACCCTCCCCCTGCTGCTCCCACTCCCCAAAACGCCCTCATGGGGGACTGTGGCCAAGGAGGGGGTTTCTGTGGGGCACCTCCTGTGTTCTCCTTTCCATGGGCCTGCCATGGGCACAGAGGGCAAGGTGTGAGCTCCCAGCGCGGCCGGGAGAGTGGGTCAGCAGGGGAAGCTCCTTCTCTGAGCACTCCTGCACACCCGGCTCGGCAGCATGCCGAAGCGCGTTCTAAAAGCTCGTTCTGTCACATCCAGCCCCCGAGCACATCAACACCCCACAAGCAGGCGAGGGAGCCTGGGAGTGGGAGCGCTGGGCTGGGAGCTCCAGCTGTTGGGAAAGGCACAGAAATAGATCTGACAGAGGGACTGTGAGGAAGACAGAGCCTGTAGCTGGAAAAAAACCAGTAACTAACGCAGACTGTAGCAGCCTGGGGCAGGGGTACGGCATCTTTATGGGACAGGGCACCAGGTGGATGGCAGGGCTCCATAGGGCACTGGGGCTGGGAGCAGAGCCTGGCACCTCGGTCACGGCCAGCTCTTCCCACTCTAACCAGCCTCTACTGCAAGCTGGAAAGCAGAGTGCCGGGAGTGGGAAAAGCAAACCAGGAGACAGGTAAGTGCCCAATCTCTGCAGGTTATGCTCCAAGTTTAGGGGAGTCCAGTGGCAGCCGGCATCCCCAGCAACCCCCCCAAAGCTTCATTCGGATGCCACACCGGCACGTGTGGCCTCAGGGGAGCCCACGGGGCAGACACCCTTACCTCGGGCAGCGGGGACGTACTTCTCCAGGACACTGATGTAGAGCTGGAGGGTGAGCTGCGGGGTGGAGCCCAGGAAGGCCTGGATGACCGCCATGCGCTTGAAAGCGTTGCGGTGCGTGGCCAGCCGGCGCACCGAGTGTCCTACCTCCTGCTCCATCTCCACCTCATAGCCTTTCCGCAGCCGCCGCTTACGGGTGATGGTGACGTAGGGCTCCTCCTCCTTCCCTGACCAGCAGTACACCACCAGTGCCTCCATACACCTGGGGGGACACAGCAACCATCACCCCGCCAGCCTCCCCGCTGCCCCTCAACATCTCCAGTCCCTCCTCACCCAGTGCCGGCCAGATCCTGCTCCTGCCGTGTGCACCCCAGCTGATTTGGGCAACTGTTCGAAGTGCTGTGGGCAGTCCCTGGCCCCGGGAGGTCAGGATGAGGGCAAGGTGACACCAGGACCGCGGGGATGCCCGGTGGCTGCTCCTCTTCTCCAGCACTCAGGGGGAAGCGTGTGGGTCAGAGGGACAACAACTGCCCCAGCAAGGGGGGGCAACAGCTGCCGCATGTGGAAATTGTAGTTCTGCTGGGAGCGAGAGATAAGGGAAGGGGTTAATCGCCCTCTGGTTCTGTTTTCCCCACTGGCACAAAAACATCTCTTCCTCTAAGCAGAGGCAAGAGAAACTTTCTGATATCGTCTTTGATCTCTCCTTGTGAGCAGAAGGCTTCTGCGCTTCCTTCTTGGTGGGGACAGCAGGAAGGGGAGCGCAGGGTGAAGCCGGGTGTGACAGGCAGATAAAACAGTGCTTCCGACAAAACCCTCACGAGCAGGCAAGGGAGGTGGGTTTCTCCCACGCTGCTTCCCACTGCAAGGCCAGCAGGACCCCCAGCTCCTCCGCACGCAGCCGTGAGGTGGGTGTGTGTGGGCCAGAGGCCATCAGCAGACGAGGACCCATCCAACAGGCTTGGCTCCTGCTCAGGGACAAGCTGGCTCTGGGACTAACAGGACGTAATTATTTATGAGCACTCATTAGGACAGCAGAAGTTTCTCTGTTTCAGACCCAAATGGAATGAGGTTTTTGGATAAATTCTTGCCAGATCAGGCCAGAACTCATGGCTCACTGCAAACTCTTAACGGGAAAATGGTTTCATCCAAAAGGCCTAGCTTCAAGGGCAGTCCCAGCTGGCTCCTGGTGCCCTCCTCAGCAGGCTGGGCTCCATCCCCAGCCTGAGGAGCCGACTGACACAGCCCCCCCGCCCCAAGCAGCTCCGGCTGGCCAAGCGGCCAAGCACCATTATCTCCATCTCAGAGAGCCACAGTGGGTGCGATGAGACCTGCGGCACAGTCACGGACCCGTAGCCCTTCCAACGGCTGGTGGTGCCGAGGTGGGGCTCCCCGGCCACCTGCGAAGATGAAATGTGGTGATGAGGACACCCCCGGCTCTCTGCTTGCTTCCGGTGATGGAGGAAGCGGTGCAGGCCGTGGTGGTTTTGCAGCGCTGTGGGTACAGCGCACCCCAAGGCATGGCTGTCGGCATGCCCTTGGGGAAGGAGCCCCCCGCTGCACCCCCTGTGCATTCTCACTGGTGGCCAGGGTGATGGCAGCCCGGGGAGGCCCCGCAACATTCCCAAGGAGTGAGAGATCAGCAGCTCTCTGGCTTGTGCAATATCCACACCCTCGCCCTCCTCTCCCCCAGCATGGTCTGGTGGCCCCCCAGCTCCCCCCAGCCTTGCTCCTGCACCCAGCTCCTCACCTCCATGCCCCATGGGGCCTGGGGGCCTTTTCTGGGGGGCAGGACCCCTGTTCCTATCCACCCTCAAGCACCCCAGCTGGGATTTGCATCTGTGCTCCCTAAGCCAAGCGACGGCAAACCCAAAGGCAGAGTGAGACACCGGCAGCAGAAAGCGACCCCGCAAAGAACCTTCTCAGCAGCTGAGAGGCAACAGGCTGGAGAGCAGAGTCCTGCCAGCAGTGGGGGCCCAGCGGGGAGCACCCCCCCCGGCAGGATCGCGGCATCGCTGGGGAGGGGTGGCCAAGCAGGAGCCCCCCGCGGGCCGGGAGCAGCCGTGTCCCCCGGGGAGGAGCGGGGAGGGGGTGTCGGGGAGCAGGCAGGAGCAGCTCTGGACACACCGGGCTTGGCTGCACAGACAGGTTTGTGCTGACAGCCAGTGCCCGAGGCGCCC